TTTTTGTTTTCTATTTATGTTTTTAGTATAGGGTCTCAGTAGGCAGCTCGGACTCGTAGTGATCCTCCTGTTTTCAGCCTCACCAGCACTGGGATTACAGGCGCACACATCACACTTGGACTCAGTTGCTGGCTCAGTGTGCCCCGGGGGCCCAGTGTGCAGGACGTGCTGGACGTGCGGGACCGGGGATCGAACCCTGATCCCTGCACTTGCCAAAGCAGACACTTAGTCCTCTGAGCTACCTCACCAGCCCTGATTTCAGTTTTGTAACTTTTTTTTTTAAAGTGGTACCGGGGATTGAACTCTGACCCTTGTGCTTTTCAGGGAAGCACTTATTCTACTGAGCCATCTCTTTGGCCTTGATTCATTGATTTCAGCTGTGTGATTACCAATTTGTTCTGTATTAGTGTCCTCTGCACTTGTTATGGGTGGGCTTGGGGTCTGAGATTGCATTTTGCTCCTTTTCGTTGTCATTTTGTGTAGCATTGTCTTCTGACCTTTGTTGTAGAGATTTGATGCAGTTATAACCTTAGCACCTTCCGAAATTCAGGTGCATATCTACAAAGTTTGGATTCATCCAGCTGTGCCTGGTGTGGGTCTGGCTGCTGTGCTCAGCTCCTTCCTGCTGCTGCCCTTGGGAATGAACCTCTTGTGTCCCTCTGGCAAGATGTTTGCTCCTGGACTAGCTGGGTGGTTCTGTCCCCTACTCTCTCTGCAGGGGCTGCAGCTGCAGGGTTTCACCCCAGGCCTGTATGCCAGGCCTGAACTGAGTCTGAAGGGGACAAGGTGGAGAAGTGGGGAGAGGAAGTTCTCCCACACACTCACAGCCTGGGCTAGGGTTGGATCTAGGCGTCCCCAGCATGTGGCAGAAATTCTTACTCGGGGAGCGGGCTGGGGGGCGGGCTGGGGAGTGGTGTGGGGGTTCCAAGGGGGTGGAAGAGGGCCTCACCTACCGGCAGGTCCCGCTGGTGCAGGGTAGCCCTCTTTCTATGTTTAATTAGCTTAATTAAATGTACATATGATGCTACCACATGATAATACTCCATTTTTATCTTTGTTTTTAGGGATACTGTGAAAATAACAAGGTGTCTATGAAGCACGTTGTTTTTTTCCATGAGATTGAGTTCACTGCCCTTACATTTTGTTTTTGTCATTGTGACAGATTGCTGGGAGAGAAGACAGGCTTGAGTCCTGACAATCCATTTCTAGATCCCTGCCTGCCTGTGGGACTGACAGACGTGGTGGAGAGAAACAGCCAGGTCCTGCATATCCGAGGAAAGGGCGACTGGGCGACTTGCGGGGGAATGCTGAGCCCTCTGCTGGCTCGCTCCAACACCAGCCAGGCCTCCCTGAACGGCATTTACCAGTCGCCCATTGACTTTAACAACAGCGAGTTCTATGGCTTCTCGGAGTTCTTTTACTGTACAGAGGATGTGCTGCGCATAGGTGGCCGCTACCACGGGCCAACCTTTGCCAAGGCTGCTCAGGTAAATCATTAATGACAAAGATCGCTCAGCTGGTAGCAGCCATTTACTGGATGCCCTTTGCGCCAGCCACTGTGCAGGGGGTTGTGCACGCATGATCTCACTTGATTTATTGCAGGGGCTGTACGGGCCCTCATTTTACAGATGTGTGTCATTTTACAGATGTGTATCTGTTATCCCAACACTTGGGAGGCCTGAGGCAGGAAGATTGCCCTAAGTTTGAGGCCAGCCTGGGCTACATAGTGAGTTCACGGCCAGCCTGAACTATATAGGAAGACCCTGTCTCAAAGTTAAGGTACCCACTGTGCTAACCTGTTTTCTAATTAAATTTAGGTTTTCCTGGCTGTCATATAACCCGGTTGTAATATTGACGTGGCAGCTAATGGTTTAATATTTACGGCTTATAAAAGTATCATCCCATTTATTTTTCCCTTTGCTGGATGTCTCACTTATAATGTGCTTTGGTGATGATGTCATATGGGTAGACAAATCCTTTTTTTTTCTCTTGGTTTGAGGTGCTAGAAAGAGTCCAGATTGGTACGGAGCCACTTAGAATATGAATTCTTATGAAAAATGACAATAGTAAAAGTACTATTTAAATTTAAAATGGAGAAATAAAAATTCACTGTGTGTGTGTGTGTGTGTGTGTGTGTGTGTGTGTGTACCATCAGCATTTTGCAGGCTTGCATCATTAGTTACCTGGACAGGTAGAAGTTCAGCCATCCTTCCTTAGCTTCGGGCCTTGATTTTGAGTCTGTGTTAGTCTGCTTTGTGTCACTGTAACGAAACATCTGAGATAATCCACTTACTCCATTTTGGCTGTCAAGTTGCAGTCCCTGGTGAGTTATTGCCTTTGCTTTGGGGCTAGGGAGAGGCAGCACATTAGGTGGGCATGTGTGTTGGAACAAAAGCATCTGTAGCAGGAGCCAGAGAGCAAAGCAGGTGAGGGGGAGCGAGGGAGAGTGAGGGGGAGCGGGGCTCCACAGTCCTCTTCAAAGGTGAGCCCAGCCCTCCCGGGAGATCTCACCTCCAAAGGCTCTACTGCCTGCCAGAATTGCCACCTTGGGGACAGTCTTGGTAATTTTTCTCACTGCAGGGACGAAATACCAGTACCTACAATTTAAAGAAGTTTATTTTGGCTTACAGCTTTAGTCTGTATTGGCTGGTTCCAAGGCAAGAAGGCATAGTGGAAGGCCCTGGGGAGAAGAGAGCTGCTCAGAGCAGGCAGCTGGGAAGCAGAGGGTGAAGGGAGGAGCTGGAGAGGGAGGTAAACCCTCTCAGGCCAGGCCTCCAGGGACCTTGCCCTTCTGACCAGATCCCACCTCCTCACAGCAAGTCATCTGTCAGCCTCCGTAACTCTTAAAAGCTTCCCAAACCCCCACCTGTGAGTGTGTGAGGCTTTGGGGGATATCTAGCTATCAGCCGTCACAGTGACCAACCCTCTAGCACACAGGCCTCAGGAAGACATTCCGGATCCAGCTATAGCAGTCATCTCTCTTTGTATAACTCATGACCTGTTTCTGCCATTAGATGAGGATATGGAAAGGATGTATCCCCTTGTATTTTTTTTTTCTCATAATTCTATAGGGTTCTCTTGGTAAAAAAAAAAACAAAACCCAAAAATACTTCTAACAGTATTATCCACAGTGTCTGCTATTCTAGCTTCAAAAGGCAGTCCCCAAGAAGTGCTGTGGGACACCTAGCTTATGTCTTTCCTCGCCACCCTCCAGTGATGCCCTCTTACCTGCTTCCCTTTGCAGAGCCTAGGGCTTCTTGGCTGTCCATGACTTGAGTTTATATCTCAAAATTCATTCAGATTTTACTTCCTCAAATGCCAAAGGGCATGTTATTCCTTACCCAAGTTATTAGTAACTTAATAAATTCCTTTGAGGACAAACAGATGATTTGGGTCCCTTAGCTATTTTTTACTTTGACTCAAATGTCATCTTCCCACCTCCCTCTGGCACCCTATCCAAAATCATAGCCTTCCATATTACCTGTTGCCCTTTCTTGCTTTTTTTACTGAGCATGTATGTCATCTTACATACTTACATGTGTATTTGTGTGTGGGGTATGTGTGTATTTACTGACAGTGTAAGCTTCATGAGGACAGGAATTTCTAGCATTTTTCACTGCTTAATCTCCTGGTACCTAGGGTAGTACTTAGTACGTACTAGACAGTCAGCAAATGTTAGTTTTCTAAATAAACTAAAAGGAATGATTTTTTTTTTTTTTTTTTTGGTGAGAATTACAGTATGGAAGCAGGCTGATGATATTTTCCCTTTATTTAAAAAGCTTTGATTAGTATATATTTGCATACCTAGTACTCACATTCATCGCAGGGAATTTATACCTGGATATGGTTTATCCTAACTCTTTTTTCCCCCTCATTTTCCTCTTCTCCCTTCTCTATTTATAGAAGCTTTGTTTCCATTTTTTTTTTTTTTTTGATAGGTGTCTAACCATTCTGTTTGACCTGTTCTCCCTAATTCCATCAGAGCTACATGGAGTAGAAAGTTTTGTTCGGCTTTTGCTGTTGCTATTCCCAACCTTGGCCCTCTCTGACGCTTAAGAGGTCAGAAGCCCGCTCTGTTTGTACGAAGAGGCAGTAAAGGGTTCCTGTCACAGTTTTTAGTGAATGAATGTGTCATTTTTGTTTCCCTGGGTCTCAGCTGGTAGTCACAAGTAATTCCAGGAGCGGGACCGCTGTGGCCTTGAGGGAAGTTGGAGCATTTGTTTCTAGTTGCATGTGGCACTGTTTCTGTATGGTTGTTCCAGGATTACTGTGGCATGGCTTGGTCAGTGCTAACTCAGCGATTCAAGAATGGCCTCTTTTCTTCACATGCAGATGAGCATCGACTCAAGTAAGTCACTTTCTTTTCCACCATAGATATGGCCTTACAGTGTGGATGGCAGCTTATAATGGAGTGCGCAATGTAATTTTATGTTGGTGGAGAATCTGATTATTTCACAATTTGATGTTAGGAGGGATCAGGGCTTAAATAGTGACCCAACTTCATAAGCCAAAGGACATCAGCAGTTACTGAAAAGAGTTCTCACCAAGTGATTTGAAAGCAGAACACATGGTCTTTTTTTGCTTTTAAACATTTTATTTAGTTTCGGTACCAGGGAAACTTGCAGGACCTCACACTTGCCAGGCAGGCGCTTATGCCACTATCTCCCCAGCCCTTAAACATTTTACAGTAGAGAAAAAGTGCAGAAAAGTTGAAAGAGCAGTAGATACAAATGAAACCTAGCTTCAGCAGCTATCAGCATTTTGGCAATATTTGGTTCATTGAGCTTCCCATTTTGTAAATGTTTTGGTTTAAAATTTAGAAAGTTCTAAACAAAAATAATGGCCGGGGAGATGGTTCAGTGGACTGAGTGCTTCCCTGGCAAGTGCAAGGGCCCTAGTTCTAATCCCCAGTTATGCCAAAAAAAAAAAAAAAAAAAAAAAAAAAAAAAAAAGGAGTTCACTTTGGGGCCAGGGAGATGGCTCAGTGGAATAAGCGCTTGCCTGGCAAGTGCAAGGGCCTGAGTTCAATCCCTGGTTCCGAAAAAATAAATAAATAAATAAATAAAATAGCATCATAAACTCCTGTGGCCCTTTCATCCAGTGTCTTCACTAACAGTAACTCCCAACGATCTTGTTTCTATTCACTGGCTTATTTGGAATCAAATTGTAGATATCGTACAGTTAACAGTTAGAATTTTAGCATGTTCTCTGAAGATAAGAACTCAGAAAAAGAGGAAAGAAGCCAGAGCTGCAATACACCGTTATTACCAAAACGCAGTTTTTATTTTTGTGGTCAGGAGAAGTAGGCTGAAATCTGGCTCACGTTCTCGGTGAGGGAGAGCAGGAAGGCAGGCCTTTTTGCATCTAGTGTGACTACGTGGCTTGTTGCAAAGGAGAGTAATAGAATTCTTTTTTAAAATTTAATTTGTGGTCATATCAGGTATCAGTGTTTCAAGTCTGCTTGGATGTACCAAGTCCTGCATGAAGGATTCCACTTTCCCTATGACTACCCGAACCTGCGGACGGCCCAGCTGGTGTATGACCGAGAGGTTCAGTGGACACTGGGAGCCATTCTCTATAAAACACGATTTTTACCACTCAGGTAAATGCAACTGACCATGCCGGCGTGTTTGGCTTAAAGAGTGTTAGTCAGTGCCTTGATAATTTCAAATGCCACTCTCTACCTGTGCTCGTCACACAGTCAGATCCCCATGACCACTTCCACGTAAGCCACTGTTCTAACCAGGCGTGCTGCAACACAGAGTTAAGAATTAACTGCTCTGGAGTGTGTTCCTTAGCGTTGTTGCTTCAGGAAGTCAGGTTTTCTTGTTCACCTACAATAAATCAGCTTTTAAGGTTAAACATAGGACATGACTAGAGAAAGTGGGTAGGCTGTCTGGATAGAGATAGCCTTCCTGATGGGTAGTCACTCCAGAAGTAGGCACTGGCCTCTCTCAGTTACCTTCCTGTCACTGGACACAATCCCCAGTACCCACAGCTTGAAGAGAGGTTTATTTTGGCTTACAGCTTTTAGAAGAATCAGTTAATAGTGAGCTGGCTTCAAGGCAGGCAGGGCACTGTGGAAGGCTCTCGTGGAGGAAAGCTGCATGCTGTCAGCCCACAGTGGCCAGGAGCCAGAAGGTGAAGGGGGAGGAGCAGAGGGCGGCATGCTGTGGCTCCAGGGACCACCCCTCTCGCCGGCAACACCTCCTTGCAACACACTTGACTATCAATTCTCAAATGGGGTAAGTTACTGTGGAGTATAGTGCCCTGTGATTGTGTCACCTTCCACAAGCCCCACCTCAGAGTACATAAGCCTTTGGGGGACATTCTAGAAGAAGCTGTAACAACCTGGGCTTGCATTAGAAGACATAAATGTTTTTTAGGGGTCTATTGCTATTACGTCCTGTAAGATATTTGGGACTGTTTTTAGGTATTCTTTCCCCTGGACTACTGCAGATAAACTGGTATGAATTCTTAGTCTTTGATGTCTGTCCCTCTGTCCTGTCAAGAGTCAGGCATGTGGTCCAAGTGAGGGAACCGGGTTGTGTAGAGGTTACAGTTAGAACCAGAATGTCCCCCAACTAAATGGCTGGTCATTGTTCTGCAGAGGAGCTGTTAAAGCTTTTGCCGTTCTTATTTGTTGTATATGAAGTCTTTTAGTTTGAAGATACACATTTTTTAAAAATATCACAGGCTATGTTTGATATTCAGACAGATAGTGAGGTTAAGCTTAACAGCCTAGGTTGTATGGTAATAACAATAAGCTTCACTTCTGGAGGGTTAACAACCTAAGTTTGCAGACCAAAATTAGAGAAAAAGGACGGCCGCAAGGAAAGCCAACATTTGGGCCCTCACCTTCCAAGGTCAATTAAGACTCAGAACATAGGAGAACTTGTAATGTCATGTAACTCAATAGTGTCCCAAATTTTCTGATCAAGGAAATTATGGGGCCAAAGAGGAAAATGATCGATGACGTAGAGTGTGCCTAAGGAGAGTCACATGGAGAGAAAACATCCTCTCAGGCTTTCACAGAGAGCACATTGGCCAAGCAATGGCTGTGACTCATCCACATGGCTGACACTGACAAAGGAGCTACAATCTGAGGATAAATCCTGAGGGGATTTGACTGACCTTATCAGACCCAAAAGCTACAACTCTTGTTGCATAGGTCTTGCTTTATCTTGGTCTTAACCATCTAGCAGAGAAGTATAAAAACGAAGTATAAGAAGTAAAGTCATGCTGTTATGTTGAGCTGTAGGGGACTCAGGTCAACAATTTCTGACATTGCCAGTCAAGCGGAAGATGCAATACTATTATGGACTACTGGACTCTTTTAGAATATTTTGCTGAATTAACACACCTATAATATTCAAATAACGGAACTAAACAAAAAAGGGGATACAGATGAATGTCCATTTTGTATCTGTGTATTCAAAATGGTTAGGATAGATATATAGTTACATTCTTTTAATGAATAGAGGGATTTTTTGTAATAGTGTTTGTAAATAGGATATCAAGTCTGCATCTTATACAGCAAATAACTACTAGGAAGAATGTATGCAATGTGTTAATTATTAAAACTATCCTACCAATTTGATTTGAAACTGTCTCATTGCTATTTGTTTCTCAATAAAATTATGGAAAAAAAATCACAGGCTAAATAAAACACAAAATGGACTCAACATTGGCTTCTGTTCAAGCTAGGCCAATAAACCACTATGATTTATCTGTTTCTTTCCATCTTATAGTTGACCAGGTTACATCTTTATTCAGATAGATGCTAAATCCTAAGGAAATGTAGCAACTGCTAAAAATCTAAAGATCAGCACCTTTGATATCTTGGTTGGATTTAGGGGTACTCCATACCCAATTAGTGCCATATTTACAAATTATTTAAAAATTTATTTACAGATGATCCATCTTAGCTTTCTCTTCAGGAGAGTTTTTCTGGCTTGATTCTGGATAGTTTGCACCTGCAGGCTACTTAGGTGGGTCATGGAAAGGGAAGTACAGAAAGAATCACACTGGCCCTGGTGATAGAAAGGGACATTTTTCACCTTGGCTTGCTCTGCAGATCTGGTGTCTTAGAATATTTGTGTGGATAGACTCAATGGGTTAACAGCACTACGCCCTCATGGCAGAATAATTTATGATCTTTGAAACTAACAGCTCTTTCCACTTTCCTTAGGGATCTTCGACAGGAAGGTGTCCGACAAGTCCATGGTAACTGGTTCCGTCTGTCCTTTGTCTACAACCATTATCTATTTTTTGCCTGTATCCTGGTGGTGCTGCTGGCCATCATCCTGTACGTCCTGCGACTCCGCCGAATTCACCACCGACAGACTCGAGCCTCAGCTTCCCTGGACTTGCTGTGGATTGAAGAGGTGGTGCCAATGATTGGGGTCCAGGTGGGGCCATGAGGCTGGACAAGAACTGGAGAAACTAAAGTATCCCAGAATTGCTGCTCATTGAATTCTTCCACCCTTTTTTTTAAATACTGGCCTCAGATGTTGCACTGGCCTTGCAATTTTTCCTTTAATTAATCTCCATGTTAATTCCTTCTTAGTGCCCAGGTCCTCTTCTCAGATAGAAGCTATAGTCTTTTATTTATAAGTGATGAGAGATTGGTGCTAACAAAGGTGACCAAGATTAGTACAACTGAAGCATGCGTCTGTATCTCAGAGATCTGATGTATTCCTGGGATCTAGCAATTTCCTCCTTGCTAAAGCATCAGGTTTGGCATTGGGCATAGTGGAAGCCTGGTTGAAACCAAATTTGAAGCTTCTGATCTAAAGCCAGACATTCTAGCAAGTGTAGCAGCCCCTTTTTTCTCTGTAACAGAGATAACATTTTGTGGACATCCACAGCCTTTAATAGGATTCAAGATCTTTGTAGTTCAATGGACCAGCGAGGAATTTCCAAGCAACCAAAATGACACAGCTTCCTTGCTTACTTGACAAAGAAGCCATAGGAGTTAAAAGGTTAGATAGAACCTTTTCTAAATGGATGGTACATTAAAATCTTAGAATATTTTATCTGATGCCTGGTCTGACTAGGATAGGAAATACTTCCCTGCTAGATGCCTCAAAGGCTGTTTAGGCATTAATTTTACTTTTTTAGCCTTAAATATGCTTGTAGGGTAAAGAAACTGTGATGGGGATTGGGTACCTACCTGGATTTGTCTGGTTATCGGTCCCTGTCCCATAGGCATATTTTTGTGTACAGATTCAAAGAGTTCCTATGTTTCATTGCTAAGATCAATATGTAGTTTGGGAAAAGATGTGTTTAGGTTGTTTATAAAGATAGGAAGAAAGTATCAGGAGAATGGACAAAGGGATAAAATAAAGTTTTCGGTTTTGCAAAAAATTTTTCTTAATTTCTGATTGTTAGAATGTCTGAAAGTTAGCAAATGCTAAATTTTGGAATAGCAAAGTTTAGCATTTAACAAATTTCTTAAGAGGCCACCTGGCAACTTTCAGAACATCTATTAAAAGATTACTCAGTCACAGATAGGACTTCCATTAGTGAGGAGAGGAAAAGCCATAAAAATTAATTTTCATCCATTATCTTCAGGAGCTTTGCTTCTCCTCTGCATTTAGCTTTCCTGTTGTATGAGGAGTTTTTTCATCAGCTCTGGCCTGCCCCACGGAGCCATCTTTCTACGTTGGCTTCTCCCACATGAAAGTGCAGCCACAGCCATGACTGCCCTTCCCAGGAATGTATTTCCCAGAGTAAGCAGCTTTCCATGGGCGCATGCATGTGTGCTCGTGTGTGTGTAGTGGTGGGGATCAAGCCCACAGGCTTGCACATTTGAGGCAAGCGCTCTGCCACTGAGCTATATCTTCAGCGCCTCTGATTTCTACGATTTGATAAACAGAGAAAGAGGTCTGTTTCAAAGAATAAAAGTGGACCTCTTCAAAAATCAATGTCACAGTGACATCAAAAAGGATTTAATTCCTTCATAAAACAGTGAAAAAGAAATTAAGATCTTCCTAGAAATAAGCTGAGACAAAAATAAATATACTGACTAAATTAGGAGGCAGGATGCTAAGTCTTGAATTGCTTTCAAATTAGATAAAACGTATTTCACCTTGCATTGGGGTTTATGTCACAGCAGTTTCCTTTAACACTTCAACTGCCTTCTTATTTTTGTTCAGTGATCCTTCATCTTGTCAGTGCTGCTTAAAAATGTCAAAATGCGTTTTTCCTAGCCATGCCTACTCAGGTAACATATCTTCACTTCACTTTGCTTTCCAAAACTATTTTCACTTCCTTAGGAGAACTAGTCAGTGATCTAGTCAAAAGCTGTGTGATTGACTTAACAGTGATCTTAGTTGTGTGCCTGAGCTGAAGTTGAAGCAGGGAGGTAATGACTAGTCTGATTTAATGGTCTTATTAGTAAAGGTATCTTTTGTTCTGTAATAATGCTTGTCATTTGTTAAGCAATTATGTTACCAGATACTCTTTTAAGAATTTTATGTATGTTGATCATTGCAATAACCGTGCAGACTGATATTACTATGTTCTTTTTATCATTGAGAATCTCAGGATACTTATGTTTATCATTTTTTTCAATATAAATATATTTCTGATTCTTATTTTAATTGGTTTTTGCGTTTTTGTTTAGTGCATTGTATCCTGTTTTTAATATGGGCCCTAGGCTTGTCTTTGTTAGTTGGCTTAGTGCTATAGTTTAAAATAGGAAAAAGATTATATCCTTCAGAACTGAATATTTCCTGTGGGCATTATTACTTCCAGTCCTCCTTCATTTCTTCCAATTAGTAGATTTAATGAAATTTCATTAGCTAGAAAGAGAACCTATTTATTCTTTGCCGAAGGCCAGTTAACTTACATGTATCACTTCCTCAGAGGAAATACAATAGTATAGAACCAAAAATCAATCTTGTCATATACTTTATTCTTTTAGCTTCATTTTTAAAATTTATTTTTGCTTTTTTTTGTATGCTGAGTGTTCCTCTGTGAGGTTAATTATGATGTTATAAAATTCACATTCCACTGGTTCCTTCAATCTTCCCAGCCACTCCTGCTAACAGGAACATAAAACCTGAATTGTTTTAGTACATTTATTATTACTGCGATGGGCACAGATGTCAAAATTGGAGTCAATGGCTTATCATAGTGATTATTAACCTTATCATGGTACAATCCATCATGTTTCCCTGAACTGTCAGTAGAATGTAAGAAAAATATATTATCATTTACATGGCATTGCACTTACTGCAGTTACACTTGACTTGAAGCCAAACTATACTATCTTTTTCTCTAAACCTTGTATCTTTAGAGTGAATTTTCCTTGAGTTGGGAAATTTTAATCGTTTTCCGCCAAAATTGTATTTATCTTCCAAGTGTCATCCAAAGTATGCCCCTTCCTCTCCTCTGTCTACAAGCTTCCTTTAAGACCTTGAATAGACCTTATTGAAATGTTGACTAAAAACCCTTCTATGCGCTCATTAAGCTTGTCTTTCTAGGTATTAACATTTGCTACGACATTCATATTTACACATTTATAACCAAATAACTTAACACTTATAACACTATTATCTAAATAGATGCTCCCCCCAACACATCCAGCAGTTTTGTACTATTGTGTTTGGGATTTTCTTAGCTTTCAGCACATGGTGTCATTTAAAGGAACAAACACCGTATTTAATGAACAGTCCACTTGGACTCTAGTTCTGGCTTTGTAATTTACTAGCTGTGTTAGCCCAGATAGGTCAGTTGTCCTCCCAGCTCGGTTCTAGTTTATAAAGGAAGTAGCTGAACAACACGAACTACAGGCAGGAGACAAGGTAAACTAAGATGGTTTTAGAGAGGATTATGGCCTTTGGCCTAGATAACCGGCCTGAAAGTTTTATACATTGTCCATCACTTTAAGGTTGATGGGAGTGGAGTTTCCAACAGTAATCACACTGAAAAAGTTTCAGAAGATGAGAAGTTTTCTTGGTTTTGGTTTTTTAATTCGGAGTGGAGATTCAGCTCATGATTCTTGAGGCTGAGAAGCCCTGCACATGGGGCTAGCATGTGCTTGGCGTCTGCTGAGCTTTCTTGCTACATCGTAACACGGCAGAAGCATCACATGATGAGACAGGATGGAAGTTTAAAGCTGAGTGTTAAGAAATTGTCTAGTTAACCTTCTTTGATTTTTACGGATAATATAAATGAGGACCAGAGCAGTTTAATATATGCAAAGTCACAATGAATGGCCTCCTAGACCCTGGGTTTTTCCCTTAAACTATCCCCCTTGAGAGTTTGACAGCTCCAGTGGAAAGCTCTTTGACAAAAATCCACAAATACGTTTTAACAGAATCTATAGTAAAGGCTTCTTCTGATCCTTATTTATGATTGCTTTGCACACACTTAGGAATATGCTTTGAAAGAAATACTTAGACATAGTCACTGGGGATGGCAGGGAGGTGGAAGCAGACCAACCTTGAGGCCAGCCTGGGCTACACAATGAGTTCACGGCCAGCACAAACTACACAGCAAGACCCTGTCTTAAAAAAAAAAAAAAGGGCTAAATTTTCACCATGTCTATTTTAGTTTCTGTATGTCTTTTTAATGCTTTTAAATTGTAGATGTCTGTCAGGCAGAATTTGCTTAATTTTGCAGTTTTCTTAACCATAGCATCCTATAGTTAACGTGAGGGTTACAACGCAAATGAAGGTCTAAGTGGCTGTCAGGGGTTGTGTGTGTGCCTGAAATGTCAGCTACTCCGAGTGGAGATTTGAGGTGGAGCCTGGGCAACACAGCAAGATTCTGCATTAAAACAAAAAGCAAAATGGCTATGCTCTACCTACAGCATTTGCCTAATATGCATGAGTCCCTGGGTTAAATCCCCAGCACCTCATAAAGAAAGACAGACTGCATATTACTATAGAGCTACCTCACTAGGAAATTTGTAATGCTTTGGGCAATTTTCAGACTTCCTTGAAACAAATGTTGAAGGTGTTCTTCTGTCTTTAAACTAGTTTAGAAATAGTATCTAATTTTCCTTTTTATTATAGCATATGGCGTAACTTCATTTCAATAAGGATTAAGAATTAAGGACCAGCTGGATAGCTCAGCAGATTAAAGTGCCTGCTTAGGCAGATGCAGTGACTGGAGTGTGATCCAGGTGTGCTGGCCCGCACCTCCCCCCCAGGGCACGCTGAGACAGCAATCGAGACTGGGCGTGGTGGCGTGTGCACGTAATCCCAGTGCTTGGGAGGCTGAAAACAGGAGGATCACTATGAGTCTGATCTGTGTAATGAGACCTTATACTAACTACATTTAAAAAAAAAAAAAGGCAGAAGTAGTAGTGGATATCTCAGATTCTCCTAAAATTGTCTCTAAATTATGCTGCATCATTGTCTTGCCTTTAGAACAATGTTTCTGTCAAACTTTCAAGAATTTTGCTATTATAGTTTTTTAAAAAATGAAGACTCAAAGAGCAAACATTTTTGTAAGCAGAGAATGTATCTGAAATCAGTTATTTCTAGGCAATGATCCATATTTCTTATGGCTTTGTAGTTGATTTTCTTTCTCCTAAAGATCTAGGTTGAAAAGTTGTAGCACCTTGTTGAGGCCTCGTCGTAAGCCTTCTGTTTTGTATCCTACTAGTCTGCCTTGCTTCCCTTTTCCCCTAATATTTCATTATCTCCCAGTTTGTCAATGGTGTTGTTATAGACACAGAAGAAATAATACACCAGCTGACCTGACCAATATGATTTTCCGAAATTTAGGCAATAAGATCTTTTTATCTATAAAACTGAATTATTGTTCATGCTATGAGAGCTTTCATCTTAATTATATGCTCCATCTCTGTCCATTATTTTTATTAAAAAAAAAAAAAAGTGAAAGACACTGTGACTCACAAGATGTTTACAGTCTTTCATGAACGCTGTCTGGCAAGCCTGAAGACACGTCTGCTCCCGAGCCTGCCCTTTTTAAGAGGGGGCAGCCAGTGAATGACCCTTTGGTGACTTACTACTCTACACGTATCAGTCACTTTCCCTTACTATAATCCTACATGTGAGGTGGTTAACCTACAGATGTGGGCCTATGGTGAGATGGCATGTTATGGTGGGAGTGTGTGGTGTGGTGCAGCAGTCACTCGCCCTTGTGGCACAAGTGAGGAAGGAGCTGGACTCTTGCGACCTCTTTTGCCATGATCTCATGACCTACAGACCCAAGGAAGCCCTGTTTCTTAGAGGCCTGACCACCTCACAACCGTGCCCCCCCCAACCAACTATTTAGTATCCAGCCTTTGGGGATATTCCAGATCCAGACTACAGCACCACTCCAAGGTAGTGCTGGTACCTTCCTAAACATTCTCTCCCATGGGAGCATCTATCAGATTTTGGTCCCACTGGTGGTAAAAAATCTGGACCTTATTAGCTTCCTAAGCCTTTGTCAGCAGGAATCCCAAATACTTTGATTTCTAATATTTCTGTTATGTGTATGTGAAATTTTTATTCCACCCAATCACATTAAGTTGACGCTCTGAGGTAAGTGTCACATCTTCACTATTTCTTCCTTGAACAACAACCTCTACAAAGCAGCTGACAGGCATCTTTTTAAGATCCACAAGTGGATGTTGCATATTTTATTTTGCTCCTTGAACTCACTGTGTGGCCAGGGCTGGCCCTGAACTAAGTGATCCTTCTGCTTCAGCCTCCCACATGCTAGGATTACAGCAGTGTACTACCATGCCCAGCTACCAAACTTTAAAAGACCAAACGCTACCTATATTGCATTAGTTGGGGGAAGGGGCTGTGAAGACTAGTCTTCTAATGCTTCAGTTAACCTTTAAATAAAGATAATTTTGCTGAATAATTAAAATTTTAAAATTCTCACAGACATTATGTCAGTGTTGAGGAAAATGTGCAGTGCATGTTAGAGAGCTGTGACACAGTCACCCTTATCACGGGGGCATAAGTATATGCCTTGCAAATGCCCATATTTAATCTACCACGCATCCCAAGACCAAAAGGATAGCTGCAGGTAAACTAGTTGTCCTAAAACCAAGATCATCAGTGTTACCTTTACACCCAGCATCACTGGGTAGTTGCTAATCATCCCTGCCCTAGTTGACAGTATATGTTGATGTACATCAAAGACAAAGAAAATCGAGTTGATTTAAGTGTTGTAATTTTCTTTGTATTTAAAAAAGACAGAGTTGTTGAGACTTTTGAAAATTAAGAGATAATCATGTAGTCATACAGTTTTGTGATTTAAACAGGTATTTGAGACATCATTCTGTAATTGTTTATTTTTCATTAATTAATATAATCATTTCATTCAGTATTTATTATGTGTCTGGTGACTCTAGGAATAAGTCATACAAAAATAATTAAGAAAATTTCTGTTCACCAGGAGCTCACAAATTGTATTATGCAGTTATATAGCTAAATATAACATGTTTTCCTAAACTTAATTCAGCTGTAATAAAAAAATGAAGTAAACTGAAACTTGAACTTATGAGTTTGCCACTTTTCTAACTGTAAAAGTATTAGTATATGGTTCTCTGGGTTGCATCATATTGCCCTCTGCTGTCTCAGTAACTAACTAAGGAGAACTTAGATTTAAGGATCAGGAGATGGAGAACCTGCTCCAGTAACTGCAGTTCTCTTTCTTTAAGGAGTTCTATTAGATAGAGATCAAAACATACTGTTATGTTAACATACTCAGGATCAC